TTACAGGCATGAGCCACCGCACCTGGCCAAAGGTCTTAAGGTCAAAGTGCTGGGATTACAGGCATGAGCCACCGCACCTGGCTTAAGGTCTTTTGTTTCTATGTTCAAAGCTGCACTATAAAAATGACTGCTGGCCGGGTGTGGTGGCTCACACCTGTAATCCCAGCAGTTTGGGAGGCCAAGGGGGCGGATCTCTTGAGGTCGGGAGTTCAAGACCAGCCTGACCAACATGGAGAAACTCCGTCTCTACTAAAAATACAAAAATTAGCCCGGTGTGGTGGTGCGCACCTGTAATCTCAGCAACTTGGGAGGCTGAGGCAGGAGAATCACTTGAACTTAGGAGGCAGAGGTTGTAGTGAGTCGAGATCATGCCACTGCACTCCAGCCTGGGCAAAAAGAGTGAAACTCCATCTCAAAAAAAAAAAAAAAAAAAAAAAAAAAAAAAAAAGAAAGAAAAAAGAAAGACTGCTAATGACATTTACTGGTGGCATGCAGTTTTACCCCTTTTTTCTGGCTCATGGCTGCTTCACATCTATGCAGTTTGGTAATTCAAAACTTTGTTAGTAGTTTCTGTAACATGGCAGGAAGCACTGGATAGTGTGAGACCCAAATGCTTGTCCTGGTACCACTAGGGACTAGATTTGTAACTTTGAACAGGTCCCTCTATCTCATTGGCTCTCAGTTGATCCTCTGTATTCTGAGGGATCCAGACTAGTTAATCTTGATTCAGGTTCTAGTTGAACTCCTCCTTAGGCTATAGATTAAAGCTAAATCACACACATATATGTCACACTGTCTATTCTGAAATATTTTAATGAAATTACAGACAGCATAAAAACTATGCGGTGGCATGGTTTTTCTTCTCCCTTTTTGTATCCTTTTTTGACAAATAGTTTTCTGGTTATTTCTTGGTGTACTGGTCAACCCCCACTCCTCACTCCCACTACCCTGCAACTAAAAACAGGTGGATATTCTGCTTAATGGTATTTATAACTCTAATTAAAGCACACTCCAAGGATGAGAGAAAAAATAAATAGTAATTGTTTAGAAAGACAGGATCTACCTGGATGAATTTACTTAGCCATTTGCAGAACTTCCTATCTCTGGATTAGAGTATATCAACTGACATAGTATTTTACAGTAAACAAAGAATTCCCTAGAATTAAAATTGTGCTAAAAATTATGGATTAAAAATCACACTGAAGTTTGTATGCATACACTTTACATCATACTTGGTGCTATGGACTGAATGTTTGTGTCCTTCCAAAATTCATGTATTGAAATCCTAATTCCAAATGTGGCGGTATTTGGAGGGAAATCTTTGGGAGGCAATTAGATTGTGAGGATAGAGCTCTGATCATGGGATTAGTGTTCTTATAAGAGAAAGCTTGTCTCCTGTCTCTGCTTTTTGTCATGGAAGGATACAAGTAGAAGACAGCCAGCTGTCTTCAAACCGGGAAATGGGCCCTCCGCAGACACCAAATTAGCTGGCACCTTGATTTAGACCTCCCAACCTCCAGAACTGTGAGAAATAGATGTTGGTTGTTTTACCCAGTCTATGGCATTCTGTTATATTAACCTAAATGCTATGAATCTTGGTATCTCCATATTAAAACAGTGGTTATATCACAGAAGGTAGTATTATTTGGATTGCACACAACTTTTTAATGGAAAGAATAGTTACTTTACCAATAAAGTAAGTACAGCAGCTGACATCCACATAAATAAACATAATAGATTGTGTTCCCTGAAAACAAACTCTGAGATGGAGAGTTAGGAGCAGGTTTATTGTTAAGTCCTCTTGGGTCATCTACTTGCAAGGAGGTGAGCAAGGAGTAGAGGGAGAAGCTGGCCTCAGTTGAATAGGGGGAGAAGCTGATCTCAGGCAACCCTACAGAGAGTTCGGAAGCAGAGATAGACTTCAGAGTTGTTCCAAATTGAGGTAAGGAGGCTAAAGCTTTCCATGTCTTTTTCAGCCAGCCATTAGCCATGAGACAATCCTTGGGGGGAGGCATGAGCTGAGGTTGAGGCAATGGCGTTCAGTCAAAAAGGATGACTAGTGAGGGACTCAGCTGTCAGCTATTAGCATATGATGAATCCATCTGTCTTCCTTTTTCACCCTAATAGCATATAAGCCAAGAAAATATAGGTGGAGCACAACAGTATTCACTCTCTATCTTGCTCTTTTTTTTTTTTTTTTTTTTGAGACAGAATCTCACTCTGTCGCCCAGGCTGGAGTGCAGTGACGCGATCTTGGCTCACTGCAACCTCTGACTCCTGGGTTCAAGCCATTCTCCTGCCTCAGCCTCCCCAGTAGCTGGGATTACTGGCACGAGTTACCGTGCCTGGCTAATTTTTTGTATTTTTTTAGTAGAGATGGGGTTTCACCATGTTGACCAGGCTGATCTTGAACTCCTGACCTTGTGATCTGCCCGCCTCGGCCTCCCAAAGTGCTGGGATTACAGGCGTGAGCCACCGTGCCCGGCCTACCCTGCTCTTTCCAGTGTCCCTTATAGTAAGTTTGCCCCACCTAGGAAAGTTTGTCCAGAAATCTGGTTGGCCATACTTATCTTACTTCCTGCAGAACATTCTCAACATCAAGAAATGTTGGAATGGTTTCTCATCCGCACAACTGACATTTTGGGCGAAACAGTTCTTTGTTGTTGTTGTCCAGAGCATTTAAAAATGCTTAGTGGCATTCCAGTGTCTACTCATTAGATACAAGCAACACGCCAACCACATTACTGAGATAGCCAAATGCCTCGGTAGATAAAAAGGGGTGCCTGGAGAATTTGGACCTGCCTCACAAGTGTTTACATCGAGGCTTTTGTGCAGATGAGGGAACCTGCCCGGGGCTTGTCTGGGCATGCCCATAGTGGACTGGAGCCCAACATGGGCGCTGGGGGAAGTGGGTGGAGCCACAGGGTATGTGCACCTGATGCAGGGGAGGAGCCTGCTCTCTTCGGCTCCTGTGGTGACCTGGGATTCAATCTGTGAGGTGGAGGGCCTGTTAGGAGGACATCATCTCACTTTGTTGAGGTCGTTTTTTCTTTTTTTCCTTTTTGCCCAGTAAAATCCTGCTCTACTCACCCTTCAATGTATCTGCATGCCTAGTTTTTCCGGGTTGTGTAATAAGAACCCAGGTTTTAGCTGAACTAGGGAGCAAAGGACTACAACATTATGACAATAAAAATGACTTCAGAGATTGCTAAATATTTCTTGGAGAGAAACATTTCTTGATGTCGAGAACCACTTAGGATCACTGAACTTCAAAGATGATTGAATCTCTAGGTAAGTCTGTGATGCCAAGTCCAAGGACCTAGTTAGGAAAACCCGGCACTCCAACACATGAGGTGGAGACGTATTATATCCTAAATATTTTTGATTCCTGGACTCCACTGAGCCCTGACAGACTGCAGAATGGCCACCCATTCTCTATTAAGAGCTAGCACTACCTCTGTCCCAGAAGACACTGCAGAGCCCTTCTCATCTCCTGGTTATCAGGCTGATAAGTAGGGCTATGTTACAGCTTAATCCAACTGGACATGCAATGAGCATGATAATAGAGGTATGACACTATACCTCAAAGAAACTACAAGAAGTAGCCAGAATGTACAAACAGGAGCTGAACAAATACCTGTGTGACTAGATGTTGAAGATGCTTGACTAAGGAGATTAGATCATAAAACTAGACGAGGAAGAGTTATTGACTTGGGAGCACTCTTCCAGAACACTGAATTTAATATCTATCTTAGTCCTTTCCAGCTGCTGTGACAAAATATCAGAAACTGAGTGACTGAGAAACAACAGAATTTATTGCTCACAAGTTCCGGAGGGTGGGAAGTCCAAGGCCAAGGCAAATCTGGCATCTGGCAAGGGCCTGTTTCCTGATTCATAGATGACACCTTCTAGCTGTCTTCTCACTTGGTGAAAAACAGGAGGGCCTATTTCTGAGCCTCTTTTATAAGGACACTAATCCCATTCACAAGGGCTCCACTCTCACAATCTAACCAGTTCCCAAAGGCCCCACACATTGGTGGTTAGGTTTTCAACATATGAATTTTGGGGAGCTCTGAAATTCAGTCCATGGTGACACCCTAGCAAGAACTTCAGGGAATGGTGTCAACTCACTGCTTGGGCGCCGCCTAGAAACATGGAGAAAGCAATGGCCCATTCTGAATAGTTTTTCTAACGTTATGATAGACAGCAGACAAAAGGATTAAAAGGCTTAGGAAGGTGGAAATGCAGGAATGGATAGATGAGACAAGCAAGACCTACCAGAGGATTCTATCTCATGACAAGGCTATCAGGAATATGCCGATGAGATAGGTAATGGCGTCATTCAAAAGTTCAGTGGTGGTTTTCCTCTGTAGACTATCACTGATTGTAAGAGAGGTTGTCATGGAGCCTGTTGATAGTAATGGGGAAGATGGGGTCATGATTCAATAGTGGCCAAATGGGAGACTTAATAACCAGAAGCCAGGGAGTCATAATTACTGTAATAAACAGCCATGTCCTAGTGGCAACCAAGAGGACTTGACCTCCAATGAGTATGAAGAAGACTAACAGAATAGAGTGTCCCTAGGCATCACTAGGAACAATGAATGTACATATATATATATATATATAAAATCAAATAAAGGAAAGGATAATTGGTAGGAGGCTGAGAACATTACCTCAATAAAAACTCATGCTACCTTGTTATGGAATTAGAGCCAGATTTCAGACATATAATCTACTGGCTGAAGAGTTGGCTAGATATCTGGAAAGAAGAAACCTGTAACACCATGGCAAGCATATACTGTGAGATTTCCTCTGATTCTTCCCTAAAGGGACCTCTGGCCATTTACTCTGGTAACTGTACACTAGGGAAAAAGGAATAATGAGACACTTAAAGGACTCCTGGGCACAAGTTCTGATTTAATATTGATACCCAGAGACCCATATCATCATCATATCCCCTTTATTAGAAAGGGGGGCACATGGGGCCAGCTGATAAACAGGCACCTGGTCAAAATCTGGCTCATAGTGGGTCCAAAAGGCCCATAGACTCACTTGATGATTACTTCTTCAGTCCCCAACAATATAATTAGTACTGACATACTTCGCAATTGGAGTGTCTTCCACGCTGAGTTACTGGCCCATGGGGTAAAAGATTTCATAGTGGTCAAGATCAAATGTAGACTTTTGAATCTTCCTTCTTCCCATCCAATCTAGTAAATGAAAAACAATATTACAACCCAGGGGGAGGATACAGCAGATTAGTGCTAATCTTAAAGATCTAAAGGATACAGAGTGGTTGGAACCTATTATATTTCCATTTAATTGGGTGATCAGGCTCCTGCAAAAACAAGATACATTCTGAACAACGACTGAAGACTACTGCAAGCTCAACCAAGTAGCAGCCACAATTAATGCTGCTGTGTCGGCTGCGTTATCTTTGGTATTTCAGAGGGGAAAAAAGGCCAGATTGATGTTAAATTGCTCTAGCATAGACGTATCATATGGTACACCCATAGCACAAGGCTATAAAGGATTGTTCTCCAACTTTTCTGTGCACAAAAATAGGCAGAGTGCTTCATTAAATGCAGATTTCTTGGTCCAAAAGTTTTGGAGCATGTGGGAGGTGAAGCCTAAGATTGTGCATTTTAACGAGAAGCCCAGGTGATTCTAATACGGGTGTCCTCAGGCCACACATTGGAATATTGACCTAAAAGCAAGCTCTGAGACTTCACTCAGGGGATATCACTTGACCCCATTGCTAATTACCTCATCTGCTGAGTAAGGCTCATAATTCCTCCCCTGCCTACCTCAGAGAGTTGTTGCCAATATTCTTAGACAACTACTTGGGCTACTACTTGGTTAAGTTTCTGGAAGCCCATTGTTATTTATTATGATCCATTCAGTTTTTATAGGCACCTGGCTGATGAATTTAAATGGGGATATGCAGCTGGGCACGGTGGCTCACTCCTGTTAATCCCTCACTTTGGGAGAGTGAGGTGGGTGGATCACCTGAGGTCAGGAGTTCGAGACCAGCCTGACCAACGTGGTGAAACCCCACCTCTACTAAAAATACAAAAATTAGCCAGATGTGGTTGTGCATGCCTTTAGTCCCAGCTACTTGGGAGGCTGGCCAGGAGAATTGCTCCAACCCGGTAGGCAGAGGTTGCACTGAGCCAAGATCATGCCATTACACTCCAGCCTGGGCAACAGAGAGAGACCTCATCTAAAAAACTAAATAAATAAATGGGGGTATGCTGGGGACCACCACCCTTGCATTTTTTAAGTCTTTGAGAGTGACACCAATTTGTCATTTCTTGCATGAAATGAAATATTAATTTTTTTTTTTTAAGAGACGGAGTCTTGCTCTGTTGCCCAGGCTGGAGTGCAGTGGCGCCATCTCGGCTCACTGCAACCTCCGCCTCCTGGGTTCATGCCATTCTCCTGCCTCAGCCTCCCGAGTAGCTGAGAGTACAGGCGCCCGCCACCACGCCCGGCTAATTTTTGGATTTTTAGTAGAGATGGGGCTTTACCGTGTTAGCCAGGATGGTCTCGATCTCCTGACCTCGTGATCTGCCCGCCTCGGCCTCCCAAAGTGCTGGGATTACAGGTGTGAGCCACTGCGACTGGCCTTGAAATATTGTTTTTAATTTACTATTTTTGAGAACAGGCTCCAGTGGTTGTGGGCAGTTAGCAGTGAATGATGCAGCTGTCAATTATCTGCAGGTGATATTTCCAGTAGTTGTGGGATGGGAATGTAGAGGCCAAAAGGGAAAGCTTCCCCTTCACCCTCTGAAAGTTCACTGAAAAACCAATTCACAAAAGGCAGATTAATTGGAGAAAAGGTATACAGATTTATATAATGTGTGCACACCAGAGCCTTTAGAATGAAGACTCAAAGATACAAGAAAAATTATCCATTTTTATGCTTCAATTCAACACAGTATGTGTAACTGAGCAGCTTAGTAGCTTAACTCAAACCATGTTATAAAACATTTTTTTCCTTTCCCCTTTCCTTCTCCTCCCTCCCCTCAGTTTCAAGACGTAGCTCTGAGATATACTTTACAGCTTCCAAATGTTTTCTTTACCTTCCATTTTCCACTTTATGCCCCCATGCCTTATGCATACTCATTTACCTGGATGCTTGTTAAGCGCACACCATACTCACTTATCTGGTCGTATATTTCCTTACAAGCTTCACGGGTCAGATCCTAATATGGACCAGACACCTCCAGAATTCTCTCTCCAATAAAAGATTACTTGAAGGCCAGAACCCACTCTCGGCTAGAGATTAGCTGCAAGATTGACTGTGATTAATCTGTAACCTCTTTGGGCCACGATGGCCCCTTCACCAGATGAAACAATAATTCAAGATGAGCCATCGGAGCAAGTCACATTGCCTGGCACCTCCTATCCCTGCCTTACCTCTTCTGCATTCCAAACCCTTAAAAAAAAATACTCCTGCATTCCTTCCACAAATTGAAGAGTGGAATTGTTTTCTGCCCTTCCCCTTGCTGGCACAGATAATGAAGTCTCACCCTTTTTTTTTTTTTTCATACCTTGTTATTATTTTGGTTTATTTCTACAAGTGTCAAGCAGCCGTACGCTTTTGCTGGTTACACAGGGACAGCCATGTAGAAATAGGATTGGACTAAAAGATGTGAGCTAGGCCGGGCGCGGTGGCTCAAGCCTGTAATCCCAGCACTTTGGGAGGCCGAGGCGGGTGGATCACGAGGTCAGGAGATCGAGACTATCCTGGCTAACACGGTGAAACCCCGTCTCTACTAAAAATACAAAAAACTAGCCGGGCGTGGTGGCGGGCGCCTGTAGTTCCAGCTACTTGGGAGGCTGAGGTGGGAGAATGGCGTGAACCCGGGAGGCGGAGCTTGCAGTGAGCCGAGATCACGCCACTGCACTCCAGCCTGGGCGACACAGCGAGACTCCGTCTCAAAAAAAAACACAAATAAAAGATGTGAGCTAATGATAATGGACTGAGTGGGGAAACTCCGCAGGACTTCTCTGTCTAGACTCTTCTTAGCCTCTCTGAGAATACATTCCTTCTCTCTGGGTGTGCAGCAGGGCCTTCTCTGGAACGGGGTTCTTCGACCTACAGTAAAACAAGGTAGGTCAAATGATTTCTTTATGGCTAGTTTTTACACAGAGAAGTAGAAAGAAAGAGTAATATTTTTGGGCTTTATGTCTGGCTTTAAGGAAAAGGGGTTCTGGTTCCTATGATCCACCTTGGGGAGGAGGGATTCTAGTTTCTACGGCTAGCATTTGGGAGAATGGGACTGAGATACAGGAGAGCAGGTCAGAGAAAAACTTTTGCTTCTGAGGCTATCATTTTGGAGTATTGTTTTCTGAGCCCCAACAGGTTTAAGAACGCTTTAAGGGGAGCTCTGGATGGAGAACCATAGTATCCACCAAAGTAACCAGTAGGGCACATCAACGTGTGTATGCATTTATACATGCATGCACACGCATGCGCCTACAGGTGCTTGTGTTTTAAGAGGAGACTTTTCTTCTATCTGTGCAATCAAGATGTCACAGCCTTCAGAGTGGTTCTGAGATTCGATATAGTTTAGGTCACAGGTTATGGCACAAGGAGTGCTGGTCTTGAGAGATCAAGGAATATGCAGCTCTTACTCTCAAAGGGCCACTTCACAATAACACGGCTACTGTAAGTCCTTGTCCACTTTCACAACTCTGGTAGCTGAGTACCATACTCTGTTGTTTGCTTTGATTTCTGGTGTAAATTGCTTGGCAGTTTCACTAGTATTATCTCAGTTGATCTTGGCAACCATTCTCTCAGGTAGGGAGAGAAGGAATTATGAGCTTAATTCAGCAGATGAGGAAATGAGGACTCCGAAAGGTCAAATGATTTGTGCCAGGTAGAGTTTCAGAGCTTGCTTTTAAGTCAATGTTTCAATGTGTGTGGCGTGAGGGGGCACCTGAGTGAGAATCACCTGAGCTTCTTATTAAAATGTGCATTCTTTTTTTTTTGAGATGGAGTTTCATTCCTGCTGCCCAAGCTGGCGTGCAATGGCAAAATCTTGGCTCACTGCAACCTTCACCTCCCAGGTTCAAGTGATTCTCCTGCCTCAGCCTCTCAAGTAGCTGAGATTACAGGCATGTGCCACCACGCCTGGCTAATTTTGTATTTTTAGTAGAGATGAGGTTTCTCCATGTTGGTCAGGCTGGTCTTGAACTCCCGACCTCAGGTGATCCACCTGCCTTGGCTTCCCAAAGTGCTGGGATTAAAGGAGTGAGCCACTGCGCCCAGCCAAAATGTGCATTCTTAGGCCTTGCCTTCCCAGCCAAAATGTGCATTCTTAGGCCTTGCCTTCCATATGCCAACTCCAAAACTTTTGGACCAGGAAATCTGCATTGATATAAAGCATCCTACCAATTCTTGTGCACAGCAAAATCAGAGAACAATCCCTCTATATTTGTTCTATGACTTGAATGTTCTTCCCCTCCAAAACTCAGGTTGAAACTTAATCTCCAATGGGTCAGTACTGAGAGGTGCATTCTTTAAGAAGTGATTGGGTAATGAGGTCTCTGGCTCAATGAATGGATTAATCCATTCATGGATTAATAGATTCATGTGTTAATAAATTAATGGGTTATCACAAAAGTGGACTAGTGGCTTTATAAGAAAAGGAAGAGGCCAGGCGCAGTGGCTCATGCCTGTTATCCCAGCACTTTGGGAGGCAGAGGCGGGCAGATCACGAGGTCAGGAGTTTGAGACCAGCCTGACCAACATGGTGAAACCCCATCTCTACTAAAAATACAACTCTCCTGCCTCAGCCTCCTGAGTAGCTGGGCTAATTTGCTGGGCGTGGTGGCACCTGCCTGTAATCCCAGCTACTCAGGAGGCTGAGGCAGGAGAATTGCTTGAACCAGGGAAGCGGAGGTTGCAGTGAGCTGAGATTGTGCCACTGCACCCCAGCCTGGGTGACAAAGCGAGACTCCATCAAGAAAAAAAAAAAGAAAGAGAAAGAAAGAAAAAAAGAGAGAGAGAGAGGGAGAGAGAGAGGAAGGAAGAAAGGAAGGAAGGAAGGAAGGAAGGAAGGAAGGAAGGAAGGAAGGAAAGGAGGAGAGAACTGAGCTGGTATATTTAGCCTTCTCACCATAGAATGCCATGCAACACCTCAGTTCTCTGCAGAGCGTTCCCACCAGCATGAAGGCCTTACCCAGGTGCATCCACTTG